AAAAAATATCTCCAATCGACTTAACTATTATAAGGAGTTCAGCCACCTCTTCACTGAAAAGCAGTTTAGCTTCAGGACCCACTGACAAACCCAACATGCTATTAATATTATCTTCGACGTGGTAAATAGCCTGAAGAAACAGGGAAATTTGGCCTTAATTGCAACTAGGGACATACACAACCCTTCGACAGCCTGTGGCACGACGGTCTCATATTCAAACTTGCCGACCTTCCTGACCACAACTGGACCTTCCTCAGGCTCATATACAACTTCTTATCAGGAAGAAACATCATCCCCACCTTTAGTGTCAATTATTATTATTATAATCAAGGGGGAAGCGCTAAACACGTAGGATTATACAGCGCCCGGGGGGGGGATGTGGAAGGCATTCAGGCTTAATTCGGGGAACTGGAGCACAGATACAATTCCCTAAATCAACAGCCCCTCACCAACATCAAGGAACCTTCCATGAGGGGCCTTTAGCATCAAGTTGACAGCTGGAGTGCCACAGGGCTCGTGCCTCAGCCCCATACTCTTTAATATATACTTAAACGATCTTCCCCCACCTGAATTCAATGTTACCCTCATCACCCAATTTCCTGATGATGTTATCCACGTACGTAGTATCTTCTACCCCCATCTCGGGAATCAACAAACATAGAAGGGTAATAGAAAAAACAAATGCGAGGCTATGAAGAATAGCCAATTGGGAAAAGAAATGGAGAATCATGACCAGTACTGTGATACCGTGATCCTGCCTCCTTCTGCTTCGACTCACCTGACTACAGTATATGAGCCACTTCTCCGGCCATATGTTGGACTTTCTACAAGAGTGATAGACTGAACACATCAATTCCAGGCTGAGAGACTGATTACCTCATACTCCTCCTCTCCTTATCCCTTTCTGCTTTGTATTGGACTGATGAAGCCACTTTGTAGCGAAACGTTTCCTTAATAAAGATTTTCATATGTTTCATAAGTGTCTCGATCTTCAACATCCAAGTTAACAGATTTGCAATCACTCCCATCAAGCTCCTCAAGTGTCCTTAAGATTATTAATGAATTTCCATATTGGACAAAACCAAATCTAACAGATTATTACCTCTGGTAGACTGTTACAAACGAGGGGCATAGATGGAGCCCCTGCGGGATACAGACAAGATGATTTCCCCTCTCTGTGGCAACTTCAAGAGGGCTTGAAATGCTGACTCCAGCAACTCTAAGAATGGGAGAAGTCTGGAGAGTGCTTGTCACTCAATTTCCGTACATTTTTTCCATACTACACTCAAGAGAGGAAACTGAAGTAACGGTAGAAACATAATCCAGGAAACAAGTGAATTTAGCTTCACGGATGACACACGAGGCAACTACTTTCGCCCACTTAAAATTAAGGAGTCGTTCTGTGGTCCTCTTGTAATGCTATCGGCCCCCTGCAGCATATTTCAAACTTACTGCATGAGAATAACAAAAAGACACAATACCGTGACTGGAACAATACACAAATAACCTGCACATAAGAGCAGGAGACCAATGAACACATTTCTGAGAGTACCTGCTCGAGGTGTGAAGGACTGAGTATGCAGCAGCGGTTAAAAATCGAAGTCAACAATAGTTGTAATAGCTCATCAGTGGAAGACAAAGAAGGTTTCTCATTAAAAACAGTTCGACACGAGTAAAGGTCCCAATTTCCCCGTTCAAATAGCCAATGTGGGCTTCAAGGAGGGCGAGAATATGAATGGGAAGTAAGGATAGGAAAATGATCACTATCATGTAAAACTGGAAGCACAGACCAGATAAAGTAGTGTTTGGTTGATCAGCAAACTGAGAGATGAATGCAAGAGAGATTTAGTGCAAGAGTCAAAATGGGTGGGAGTATCCATATTTAAAACATGGAGGAAAGAATAGTGAGAAGAGCCTCTAACTGATCACCTTGAGTCACAGTGACATTCCCCCAGAGGAAATGAGCATTAAAATCACCTAATAAGAGAAGAGGTGGCAGTAAAGAAGAAGCCAGGAATGAACATCTGGAATAGATAATGGTTGAGAGAGTAGATGCTGGCTGCAGTGTAATGCAGCAAAGGGTACCCCGTGGCTCAAGCTCTTGCTTCACACTGCAAGGGTAGAAACATTGGGCATGTTTCTTTACACTGTTTGTCTATGTTCCCCATCAGTAAAAATGGTACCTGGGTGTTAGTGGACTGGTGTGGGTTGCATCCTGGGACAAAACTGACCTAACTCGCCCTAAATGATCTGCATAACAAGCGGCTTTCTATGTACGTAGTATGTCATTGATGTCAGCTAGGCCTTTGTACGTGTACTTGTAGAAATAAACATATTATTATTATTATTATGAACAAAGATCCGAGTGTGTGGTATACTGGTATGTACAAGAAGTGCACTTTCATTCAAAGTTCCATCAGGAAAAAGGACCCAATGAATGCAACCAAATATAGCCAGAGATGGGATGGATAACAGCAGAGCATAATTTAGGTTCTCGTAAACAAACAGGGGAAAGCTGGGAGAGCAACACCTGAAGCTCACCCGATTACCTGAGGCCTCGAATATTCCACTGTAAATAAGTCATGATTTGCAAATAGAAGTATACTGGTAACACGAAGCGGTAGGTGTCTACATGTGGAGATAGCGGAAAACGAGCAAGCAGTGAAGATTTGGAACGCTGTGAAGAAAGGAGTCTTGTAGATTGTTTAGGAAAGTGAGGAGTAAACCACAGTACGGGCAGGGATTAAACCTACAGTGAATACTGTGGCTTGTTTGCAATCATGTCATTGCAATTTCTCTAGTCATGAGGAAGAGGAGTGATAGGACGTGGATCAGTGTCCATAACTGGTTTTGTCTCCTCAGTATATTTGGAGATAGCGTCAAGCATTTCAGAGGATAAGGAAGTTCCAAGTAATACATCAGATATAGAAGGAGGAGAGTGAGTCAAGACTGGAAATATGATGGAAGTTATCAAAGAAGGGGAGATGAGAGGTTAGCTAATTTGGAAAGAAACTTGGGATGGGGACAGGAGAAGAAAGAAGTGTATGAGGGAAAGGATGCATTGCCACACCCCTAACAGAGCCAGTAAGAGGTAATGTACTAGGCACAGAGACTGGAAAGGAAAAGTATTTGGGAGGTCTTGTAGACATAGAAACATGCGAGCAAGAAGATGAAGACTCGAGGACAGTGAGGCAATGAGGTAGAGACCTCAGAGTCAAGGACTACAAGAGAGTTAGTTAGAGGTGGCTATGGAAGTTGTGAGCACAAAAGAATTTGTGGGAGTAGGTGACATCAAGGTTGGAGGCCACTTAGTAACCCCAGAATAAGAAAGTTAGAGAAGTTCCCCTTGGAGGTAGAGATGAGTGACCGCTACAGCTTAAGTGAAACTTTTTTCTTTGAGACGGCGGATTTCTTGTTCAAGTAAACCTGGCCACGGCGAGAATAAGATGAGAGAGCCTCATTACAATTAAGGCAAGAGGAAGGTAGGCTGCAGGATGTATTTGTATGGTCAGCACCACCACAGATAGGGCATTCTGCTGTGGACTTGCAGTATTTCGCTGGGTGGCATTAGCAACAGCAAGTCCAACACTGTTGTGTAGAGATCAACTCTGACTTGTAAATGGTGTCCTGTAATATAAACCGAGGACGGAAGTTCTTGGCAGTCTAAAGTAAAGCTACATTGCAAGGAAAGCATCTCTGTCCGTGGACAGGTAGTACACGAGTGTCCACTTGGAAAATTGGGAGGTACTGGAGCTCAAGTTACTCCAGAATGTCAGCATCTCATGTCTGAATATTATGTTGAATGGTTGTATGAGGCAGAATTACAGTACCACTGCAAGAACTGAGAGAAATGTGGGAGTTGTGATAGGAAAATTGCCCATGGAAGTAAACAGGTAAAGATTTTGAGCCTGGCCAGCATTTCGTACTGTGACTATATATTATCCTTAAGAACATGAAACAATACTTTGACCAACATGGCACAGGAGTGCCTTGCTGATATGTTTGAGAAAGATAGTGAGAGATGTCTGTTGCAGTGAAAAACTTAATCCATCATGTGCTTCGAAGCATAGCATGTAAGGAGAGAGTATTTTGTCGATCTTTTCTGGAAAGAGCAAGTGGCAAGAGAAGCAGTGTTGTCTGTTAATGGCCAGACTTTAGGCGTTTGAACCTCGGTACAAGGAGCAGGCAACAAAATGTTATCTGCAGAATGTACCAGGACGTTAGAAAGATCCAGAGAATTGTCCAATAACAAGGAATGGTCCTGTTAAGGCACCACAGCAGAAAGGAGTCCAGGAGAAAGGATAGCTCCTAGGAGGAATGGAAAGGCTGTAAATCCCCCTCTGTGTCCAAGAGGACCTCAGTGCAGCCAGTAGTGCAGATGCAGCATGGAACCTGTGCCAGTAAAGTGGCAATCCAGCCCGTGGTATGGTTTGTTTACAATCGTGTCATTACAATTTCGTGAGTTATTAGCAGACAGAAGTGTTCATTACACTTGCATTAATTTCATATTTTTTTTCCATATGGGGACAGTACTAAACCTCTTATATACTGCAGTTTGTTAGTGTAAACAATGGTATAAACCTTCGAAATAGATACCGTTGTCTTAATAAACCGAATTGGTTTATTAAGACACTTCAGCAAACACTAGGCTGCCTTCATTGAAGTGATCTAGGTCCCAGGACCAAAAAATTTTTATAAACAAGTCCTAGTACACATCTTTCTTAAGCACTGCAAGACATGACGCCTCTGTTATAGTTTTTTTTTTTTTCGACAAGTCGGCCGTCTCCCACCGAGGCAGGGTGACCCAAAAAAGAAAAACCCCAAAAAGAAAATACTTTCATCATCATTCAACACTTTCACTACACTCGCACATTATCACTGTTTTTGCAGAGGTGCTCAGAACACAACAGTTTAGAAGTATATACGTATAAAGATACACAACATATCCCTCCAAACTGCCAATATCTGTTATGGTACTTAATGAAAATAAATTTTCTCCATCACACATTTTTGTACACCATTTATTTCAAAACTTCATTAAACACAAGTTCCACAATAATATGAATTAGATAATTTGCTGCAAATGGTGAAAATAATTCCATAGTGTGAATTCAATCACAAGGAATAAAATAAATTAATACATTTTGGATCAAACATAGAAAATACAAGCTACAGAAAAATAAAATTTCAATTGTTTATAAAGTTCGTACAATGGTACACACTAAGTCGGCAAACAGCTTTAGTAACAGCATAGTACGTAAGATTATCAATGTAGAAAATCTTCGAAATAAAATTATAAAACCAATGATCACAAGGATACACTGAAAACACAGTTATCAAGATGTGAAACAACTTACCACAGGTAGCTGAAAATTCTAGCATCTGGAGCAAGCACTCCACTCAAGGGTAAGATCAATGTTGATCCTCCAGTCACTTGCAGTTATACACAAATAACCCGCACACAGAATAGAGGAGCTTACGACGATGTTTCGGTCCGACTTGGACCGAAATGGTCCAAGTCGGACCGAAACGTCGTAAGCTCCTCTCTTCTATATGCGGGTTATTTGTCTATCCTTACAGTCACGGTATTGTGCTTTTTTTTTTTTTTTTTTTTTTTTTTTTTTTTTTGTTATTTACTTGCAGTTATATACTGATCTAACTGGTGTGTGTTGAAACAATCATTAAACTTTTCCTTACAATTCCTGCTCAACGTTTAAATTTATAAAATTATAATTTCCCTAATAAGATTTGATGCAGTTCGTCTTTTCCACAATAAACATATTTATTACAAGATAACTCTTCCTTGCTTTATGTGGATTCATGTTATGTGAATTTGCTATTACGTCATGTCCTATTTCTAGAAGTAATTCATAATACACAATTTAAGGCTGCGTCACGCACTCGGCACAGTTCCAAAATCATACCGAGGATTTTTTTTATTATGTATAATTGTTTATGACCTGACTGAGCTTAGCACTTATGCCAAGGATCTGGAACACATCTATAACATAAAATGAGGGACACATACCTGGCATACCTATTATACAACAGGCAAGTATAATCATCCTTATAATGGCTTCCTGAACCTATTCCACCATACACTCACTTTGGTCTTATTATACAAGCTACTCTTTTTACACCACGCTATGGACAACATGAACACCGACAGTTCTATTAACATTAAAACATGAATGTTCACTTTCTTACCTAAATGGCCATCACCAAGGAAAGCTAACCCAAAGAAAACAATCATTCAACTGTCATTTTCCCAAAGTTGTGCTGATATTGCAGTTCAGATATTACTAAAACATCTCCACTTCTTCGAGCTAATCAGTTTCCCCTGAATTCCTTCAAAAAAGTCACTTTACCCTCACACTCCAATGGCTTTATAATTATTCAGTCTCCTCTCAAACACACAAATATACCCCTCACCACTCGACCGCACACTGCAGCCACATACAGGCGAGTACCGACCAACACTCGCCCCACCTCCCCCACAAACCCACCCATGCATGGGGCCAAGAGTTGTGACTCAACCCCTGTATCCACAGAAGTTAGTACTCACTCATTCACCAACAAAATATCAGCATGTGGCAATAATAAAAAGATACTTTCAATGAAATAATTTTCTAATGCATTGTTTAATCCAGTAGCAATTTTACCAGTAGAGTACGACATGGAGTACACAAACAGTGGTATGTATAGCACATCAGAGAAGTCAGGTACAGTGGTGTTGGCATGTAATACTTTTTGTATGCATGTGCCAATGCCTTATATGCACCATGTTTCTGTACATCGCACTAGCCATGCAACTCGAGCGTGATGCAGAGGTGGTGTATCGAGATATATACATATATTATATAAGAATTGCACCACTGACAATACCTCCCACATGCTACATGTACCAATGTTTTGTGTACATACCGCCTCTCCTTACTTAACGACAGAGTTCCATTCCTAAGACAGTGTTGGTAAACGAGTACGTACGTTGTTAAGTGAGGAGAGGCTGTATTCTATATAGTACAATACTTTATAAAGATCTCCTGTGAATCAAAACATATTAATATAAGGGTTCTTTACCATAAGGTTTTTTTTTAATACCACATGTCAAAAAACTTGGACATCCTTTTTAATTCTAATTATGAAAATTATAAGTCAATCTACTGGAAATTTTATTTTGGGGCAAAATAACCAAATTTGTCTTCTCAAGACTCAAAACAAAACCTAATTATACCTGAATTATTTTAAACCACACCCTCTTTAACTTCTTCATTCCCAGGATCATCTACTGATGCAGGATCGTTTACGGTACCATCTTCATCTGTACGGTCAATACTAAGCTCTTCCGTTGATAAGGGATCACTCACAGAGCCATCTTCGTTGAGATGGCTCTTGTCGGACGGCGAGACGTCGCTCGCATTAATGTTGCAACCCACATTAAAATAGTCCCCATCCTCAGGGTTGTCCACCTTTAAAACACCTTCCTGGGTCTGCTTGTCAGATATAAACACTCTCTTCATTGTGAGTTTTTTATTCGTCTTGTAAACATATTTGAGCATCCTTAATGGCTTCTTGCAAAATACTGGATCACACTTTTTAACCCTTTTATCTTCCTCTTCAAAGAAGACAGCCGTACCCATTGTGTGTTCATAGTCACCAGAAAACACAAAGTTTTCTACTTGTAAAACAGGATGATCAGAGTCTATGGATAATATTTTGAACTTATCGAAAGAATCTTGTGCAAAAATCTCAGAGTCAATGACTCCATTTAGTTCAACCATGACTAGCGTTTCTTCCTCTTCATATTCACTGTCAGACGCCATATTGGTAAATCTTAGCTACTGAATTAAAAATATGTACAGGATCAAGTTTGTTGAGGTACACACTACTGTTCTAGAGAGACGCACATAATACAGCAACTGCCTACCACAACAACACTGCAGTGAAGCAAGTCTGACGTTCTTATCTAACTGGCCACGTTAAATGCGTCACACATTTTTTTCCATCTCCAAATTTCTTTTTTACATTTCCAATATGGCCAAATTTGGCTCCTCATTGGAGTCAGTGTCCATGGCCTCTTCTTCCCTACCAGTAAATGACTGAAGTTTCTGGTTTATACGTTCAAGTTCTTGAGACTTCACCGAACAATAGTTGAGGTAGACTATTTTCAGACCCATAATAACTGCCAGTTTCTGGCGGAGGTTGTAGCGTGCAGAGTGCTTTTTGTGTTTGATCGCTGTTTTAAACTGAACCTCCAGGTCTTGTACCTATGAAAAAAATAAATCTTAAAATTTGTAGCAATTTTTAGAAATGGTTACATCCTACATGGATGGAATATCAAATATCGAAGAAAGTGTTTATGCATTTCTTTCTGAATTAAAGCCCTTCTTCAGCAGATAAAGGTTTTGCATAAAACTGGAAAAATGTTATGCACATAAAGGGCCCCCAAGATCTGAAATTCATTGCTTGAACCAGCAAAAAGGTCCCCTGTCTGCCAAATTATTTAGGGCTATAATTAAAAATCACATCTCCCAAACTTACCTATACCAACACTATACTAAATCATTCAACCAGTTTCAAACTACGTACTCAAGAAATCCTCCCCCCCCCCCTGCAAAAAAAATTGGAACCACTAAATCAGTAAAATATCAGTAAATGCTTAAAACTGTACTCTTGTAATATTGTAAATTGTGCTAATTTTTTTTTTTTTGGTATCCCTCCACTATAAATCTTCTTAAATTTTTGGCTACCTCTTTTGTAATGATATAAAATAATGAATAATTAAGATTTACCACTCCATAACCAATGTCTAGTTTTAAGTACAGTGGACCCCGACTAACGGTCAGCTCCCAACTCGACCAATTATGTAAGTGTATTTTTGCAAGTGCTTTTGTAGGTGTATTTTTGGGGGTCTGAAACGGACTAATCTAATTCACAATATTCCTTATGGGAACAAATTCGGTCTATAACAGCACCCGAACAGACTTCTGGATTGAAATAATATTGTTAGTCGGGGGTCCACTGTATTGTGCAAGTAATGATTAGTCTGCCTGGAATGTTCAGCTATGTTAGTGGCTTTCTCTGTGCTTAATATTTCATAATAGGTAAATCATACAGTGTAAACTATGCAAAGAAATAAATAGTATTTGAATTTGACTATCAATTAAAAAATTACTCGGACAGTGGTATTGCCGCCATAATAGAATTACACGTAATACAGATCATGATTAACTTTATAGAAGCCATAGCGAAATACAAGCTATTCAAACGAACATTCCACAAAATACACCAATAACGGAATTAGATTAGAGGAAAGGGAAGGAGCGACCCAATCAGCTCCCGCTCTCTAAATCGGGAACCTTTGAATATGGAATGGCCCTTTTACTGTTTAAGGGTCTTTAGAGAAGGAGCAGTCAATTGGAACAACTTTGTATAGGAACAGAATTTAACCCTTAAACTGTCCAAACATAGATCTACATTTTTTTCAACATTTGAATGTAAAAAAAAGTAGATTTTTTTTTTACATTTGAAAATGTGTAAAAAACATTGATCTACTTTTTTTTTGTTATACTATTTGAAAATATATAAAAAAACGTAGATATACTTTTGGAGCACTATGCATGTCAATATAGATCTGTTTGGACAGTTTAAGGGTTAATAAAACTGGTGGACTGGCAACACTAATAAAAGAAATGCTAACTACAGAAATTCAAAATACTGTACTTAAACATTTTTCTGATAGAAAAAAATCTGCAGCTAATGAATATAATCAACCAATAAATAAATGGGAGCAAGAAGAATGACAAATGAGGGACTGCATAGGCAAAGTAATTTTGGCATAAAAAGCAACCATGAAAAGAGACTGAAATTTAGTATTTATTATAAATTTAAAGAAATAGATCAGATAGCTTATGAAAAATAGCAAACATGGGTAAACAAATTTGAGTATTTTTATTACGCATCACCATATATTAATATAAACAGTACAATAAAATTTTTAAAACAGTGCTAAATTTTTTTTTTTTTTGAAGACTGGCCAAGGGACGAACTGACAACTCGACACCAGTAATACAAGACCATAGCATAGGTCGACATCAGTGGAACTTTTAGGGTGCTGGATTAACGATTTTGCCCGATCACAGATTGGTTAGGTTAGAACAACCCAACAGCTGGTTCATGAAAAATATTTGGCTTGTTCCTTGACCAGATTTGGATTAGTGGTTGTACAGTACAGTATTCAATAGTGACAACTCAACATCAAAAATACAACACTTACAACAGTATTCACAACTACAAGTTGGAGGTTGACATTTCAATAGTCGTAACATAAAACTTTAAAAAGGGGAAAATTAAATATAACTAAAGAGCTCACCTGAGTATACAAGGTACTGATGTGTCTATTGGCAAGGTTGAGCTTAAAGCGAGTCTCCGCTTGTTGTCGCTTTAAGGACTCGAGGTCTTCACTAGCGTCTTCCTTTGACATTGTACACACTGAGGTCCCTGCAAGCAAACACACCAGGGGTTCCATTAAAAGGCAGCTGATGGTGATTTATTGCCCTCTATTAGATCCATAATGTTCTCTATGCAGTTATCACCACTGTGGCCTGATGCTCTTAGAAAATAATTTAACCCCTGCAAAACATCAGAAAATTCAACTGAACTGGAATTACTTGTGCAGGATTTTAATGCTTACGACTAACTCTTAAACCAGCTTCAGCATGATTTCATTTAAAGCTTGTAATTCACTAATATGGATACAAATCATTGAATGCATTAAGCAAGAAACACAAATCTCCACAGTATTCCCCAAAAGTGGATGCTGTTATAAGAACATAAGAAAGAAGGAACACTGCAACAGGCCTACTGACCCCACACAAAGCAGGTCCATGTCCCCCCTCCTGGATTAGACCAATGACCCACCCAGTCTGGTCATCCCCACTTGCCATGGCTTAGCAAGAGCTATTAATAAGACACGTCAGTTTATTGCATTTGATTAGAAGTTTCATGCATGTGGGACCTTATCAGTTAACTAAGTCCATGTTGGGAGAAACATCTTAAAATGCCATAAATCACACTGTCTTCAATAACATACTGTACTGTACTTGTCAGTAATTCTATCATTGATATATTAGGACTGTCAGATTGAGCACTCAAACTTGCTACAGCATTTTGCTAATGCAGTGGTTTTTAACCCTTAAACGGTCCAAACAGATCGACGTTCAAATTCGTAGCTACAAAAGTAGATCTACTTTTTTTTTACGTATTTTCAAATGTAACAAAAAAAAGTAGATAAGTTTTTTTTACACGTAAAACAAATAAGATCTACATTTTTTTTACATACTTTCAGATGTTGAAAAAACGTATATATACATTTGGACCATTTAAGGGTTAATTATACCGATTCAGTTATGCAGACTTCTTACAATAGATTATTAGAATAAAAAAAAAAGAAGCACTAAACCTACAAGAGCCATACAGCCCTGCCATGTAGGGTAGGATGCAGGGGTATTGGGTAGCAAGAGGGATCATTATTAGGTCATGGAGTGCAGTGGGGCAGTGGATAGTGCAGGGGTAGAGGGTAGCAAACGACTGAGGTAGAAAGGGCTGCGAGGATTACTAGAGGCAGTATCATCATGATGATAATGAGTATGTGCAGTATATCAGTTGCTGCCAAAATGTCAACGAGAGTCTGTGTTAACGGAGGGTCCATCAGCAAGAAGGAAAGGTAAAGTAAGGGCAGTAGAGCATGACGATGGAGGTAAATTCTGCGTGCTTGTTGATAAAGTGGACAGCCCAACAGAATGTGGCTAACAAACCGGAACCTGACAATTCTCACAGAGTGGAACAGGCCACCTCTCTATGAGGTACCCGTGAGTAAGACAAGTGTGGCCAATGCAAAGACTGGAGTGAGAGTAGTCTCCCAACCTCGACATTGGTAAGAAGATTGCTAGAAACCTATACTCGGTTTAATAGTGTAGTTTATTATGGAGCAGATCAGACCAACATTGTTGCCAATGGGTGCAATGATGGGTAGCAATTACAGCAAAACAGTGAATGGAACACCTCTATATGAAACTGCGAGGTCATGTACTGCTGAATGCACAGCAGTGTCTGCCTGTTCATTGCCCTGTACGTCAACATGACCAGGGACCCAACAAAAAACTATCTTTGTGCTTGCTAGAGATATGGTATAACCAAAGTTGAATACGAAAAATCAGGGGATGAGGTGTATTCAAATTTTTGTATAGCCTGTAAAGCACTAAGGGAGTCTGAAACGACTACAAATGGTGACAAAGGCACAGGTGAAATATGGATAAGTGCTACAAGAACGGCATACAATTCAGTGGTAAAATGCTAGCCAGGGATAATAAATGCCCTCGCACAACGCTGTCCGGAAACACTGCTGTGAATCCGGCACCGTAAGAAGACTTGGAACCATTGGTGTACACAGCGATGGCATGAGAAGCCACCGTAGGCAGTTGGGCTTTCGTGCATGGCAGTAGAAAAGAACAAACAAACCGTGTATGTACAATGTTTAACAAGTTTACTCAGGTATTCACAAATACAGTTTCATGGATTATAATTATCTTACATAGCAGCACGTGTGTATAGAACCTGGGATAACCCAAAAAAAGTCAGCGATTTATTTCCATTGGGTGCCTTCACAAGACATACCAGCATGTACTAAATCACTCTTATGTGACTAAAAGAAAAAATTAAAAATGCAATCTAAAAGAATGCATTAATAGAGCCACATCAGATGGAAAAAAAAAAATTCTATATAACCAAACCAAACATGAAATTCAAACTAATTCGTATGTGCAGTACTTTACATACTATTCCAAAATACTGCAAATTTAACAGGCACATTTCGAGACTAACTATATTCATATCAAACAGGTATAGTTACATTCATGGCATGTGCACCAAACCCACAGGGAATTTGACCTGTGCTTCCCTTTGGATTGAACCTGAATGCTTCCCATTCCCCCAGGCACTTTAAAAGATACACCATAACATTTAAGGCTGGATCATAATATAATCAAGCTAAGCACTAAGCCTAAAAGCTAGATAAATTACTTACTATTAAACTTTGTGCATACCAATCTTATTTTAATTACTTTTAAATAGCGTATCTTGTTTAAATTTTGCCGTTTATCGAAGTGCTACATTTACTTTAAATGAAAATCAGTGAATAATTAAGAAAAAAAATCAGCCACTATCAGCCACCACAGAAAAAATTCTTTATTAATGCTATACCAAAGAGTAAAAATTTGACTTAACAAAATTAATAGAGTGTACCCAGACTACCTTGCCTTACATTCTGAAAGGATATGAATCCAAAATCCATACAGCCTCTCCTCACTCAGTGACGTACTCGTTTACCGACAACTCAGACTTATGATGGGCTCTCTGACCAGTATTCATACCTAAATAACGTATATTAGAGCTGATTTCACCTATTCTGTTTATTACAATATACAGTAGACTACTGTATAAACATTTAAAAATACGTATACTAAAAATTTTATAAATGGTGAAAAAGTGACATTAAAACAATATCAAAGATGGATGACAAACCCACGACCAATATATTATGCTCCTTGATTAACGACAAATTTGTTTACCGACGTGGTCTTCGGAATGTAACTGTCACTGAGCGAGGAGAGGCTGTATTTGACGAGGGTCAGTAAACAATTTTGCAGTACCTAAAAATAAATTACTAGTAGATTAAACTTAACACCTGTACACAAACACCTGCAATTATTTACTAATACATGTACATTATTATTATAATCAAAAAGAAGCGCTAAGCCACAAGGGCTATACAGCGCTGCAGGGTAGGGAAGGAAGCAAGGGAATTGGATGGCAGAAGGGAGGGGGGATGATCAGCAGGTTACAGAAAACAGCGGGGCAGGGGATAGTACGGGGGTAGAGGGTAGCAAGAGATTCAAGTAGAAAGGGCTGAAAGTATCAGAATTTGTGAAGTAAGTCAGTCGTTGTCAAAAAGTCAATGAGAGAGTCTGGATGAAAGGTGGGTCCATCAGCGAGAAGGGAAGGTAAAGAGAGAGCAGCGGGCGAAGACGACGACAGAGGTAAATTCTGCCGTGCTCGTTGATAAAGTGGCAGTCCAACAGAATGTGGCTGACTGATAATGGAGCTTGGCAATTCTCACAGAGAGGAGCAAGACGCCTCTCCATGAGATATCCATGAGTAAGACGAGTATGGCCAATGCGAAGACGAGAGAGAGTAGTCTCCCAACCTCGACACTGGTGAGAAGAAGACGCCAGTAACCTATACTCGTTTAATAGACTGAAGTTTGTTGCCGAGCATAGTAGACCAACGTTGTTGCCAACGGTGTGAAGGTGGGAAGATATTACAGCAAAATAGTCCGTACATGGAATACCTCTATAAGAAACTGGTAGGTCATGTACTGCTGACCGCGCAGCAGTGTCTGCCTGTTTCATTGCCCTGTACGTCAACATGACCAGGGACCCAAAAAAAACAATATCTTTATGCTTGTAAAGATGCGGCGTAGCCAAAGTTGGATACGGAGGACTAAGGGGTGAGGTGTATCAAATTTTTGTATAGCCTGTAAAGCACTAAGGGAGTCTGAGACAACCACAAATGATGACACAGGCATAGATGCAATACGGATAAGTGCTGTAAGGATGGCATATAATTCAGCAGTAAAAATACTAGCCGAAGATAGTAAATGCCCTTGTACGACGCTAGTCCGGAAACACTGCTGCGAATCCTACGCCGTCAGAAGACTTAGAGCCATCTGTGTACACAGCAATGGCATGAGAATGAGAGTGAAAGTGGTCAAGAAAAGAGAGCGGGAAGCGACCGTAGACAGTTGGGCTTCGAGCAAGGGAGGGAGAAAGAACAGACTCGAACAGCTGGAACTTCCCAGGGGGGTAGGGAAAAGTGAGATGCTACATGTACATAGAAAGGTGGTAGTTGAAGAGAAGACAAGAGCGAATGAAGGCGAAGAGAGAAGGGACGGAGTAAGCAGGGGCGGCGAACAAATAAAGAATGTCTACTAATATCAGTGACCATTCTATAAATGGAAGGATTGCGGAGATCATGAGAGCGTACATAGTAGCGCAGGCAATGGGCATCACGGCGATCGGATAAGGATGGAACGTTCACTTCTGCATAGAGGCTTTCGACAGGGGAAGAGCGAAAAGCACCAAGGCATAAACGTAATCCTTGGTGATGAATGGGGTTAAGGCTAGAGAGAGTAGCAGGAGATGCCGCTGAATAGATCTGGTCACCATAATCAAGTTTCGATAAAATAAGGGTGGAATGTAGGTGAAGGAGGGTTCGACGATCAGCTCCCCACGAAAGATGAGCAAGGGTTTTAAGAAGGTTCAGCCGGCTGTGACAAGTTGCCTTCAGAGAGGTAATGTGAGGTTTCCAGGATAACCTACGATCAAAGAGGAGGCCCAGAAACTTGACTGTATCACGTTCAGGGATACGGGAGCCATAGAGGTACAAAGGATGATCGGAGATGACAGAGCGTCTAGTGAAAGTGATTTGGTGGTTTTAGTGCTGGAAAATTTAAACCCATGCTGGTGGCCCAATTGGAAACACGGTCGACTGCATGCTGGAGAGAAAACTGTAAGGAGGTGACAGTCAGCGCCTGCACAGGCAATAGCGAAGTCATCAACATAGAGTTGATGACCAAATATTTGATGGAAGACTAGAGGCCAAATCATTAATAGCAAGGAGAAAAAGTGTTGTGCTCAGAACACATCCCTGGGGGACACCTTCAGCTTGGATAAAGTCCGGGGTGAGCACATTATTAACCCGAACACGGAAATGCCTGTCAGTTAAAAAGTTCTTAAGGAAGGATGGTAAATTGCCTCGAAGGCCTAAGGAGTGGGCTTGGGCTAAAATATTATACCTCCAAGTTGTGTCATATGCCTTCTCAAGGTCAAAAAATATGGCAATAACTGAGTGGTTATTCGCAAAGGCATTACGAACATACGTATCCAAGTGCAGTAAGGGGTCTATGGTAGAACGTCCCTTACGAAAGCCATATTGACGAGTGGAGAGACTGTTGTGTGTCTCTAAATACCACATTAAACGTCTATTTACTAGACGTTCCATTACTTTGCAAACTGCACTGGTAAGAGCAATGGGACGATAGTGGGAGGTTTCATGTCCCGTAGTGCCTGGTTTGCGGAAAGGGAGAACAATGGCGGATTTCCACAGCTGTGGAAGACTCCTTGTGACCAAATAAGATTGTAAAGGCGTAATAGGACTGCAAGGGCTGACTGATGTAAATGTTGTAGCATACGAATATGAATGTCGTCGGGCCCAGCTGCCGATGATCGACAAGCTGAGAGTGTTGCCTCCAGTTCTTGAAGTGTAAAAGGCACATTATACTGTTCTTCTCTGAGAGAAGAAAAGTCCAAGGGTGCTAACTCTCCTGGCAGACTTTGAGGAAAGAAATGAGGGGCATAGATGGAGTCCCTGAGAAATACGGACCAGATGATTGCCGATTTCATTGGCAACATCTAGTGGGTTTGCTATATCAACACCGGCAACCCGCAGAAAAGGAGCCGGGTCAGGAGAATATTTACCACTCAGTTTTCGTACTTTTTTCTCCAGACTGCACTCATAGAGGAAGCAGAGGTGATGGTGGAGACATAATCTCGCCAGCAAGTGCGTTTAGCGTCACGGATGACACGGCGAGCGATCGCACGCTTCTGTTTAAAATCAAGGAGTCGCTCTGTGGTTCTATTGTACCGGTACCTGCCCCATGCAGCGCGTTTCAAACGTACTGCACGAGCACAAGCAGGAGACCACCAAGGCACGCATTTCTGAGAATGCCTGCCCGAAGTTTGGGGTATAGAATGAGAAGCTGCGGTGAAAACAGAGGACGAGAAGAGGTGTAAAAGCTCATCGATGGAGGACGAAGAAGGAACCTCTTTAAAAACAGTCAGGTGTGAGTAAAGGTTCCAATTTGCCCGATTAAATTGCCAGCGTGGGGTGCGAAGAGGTGGCGAATATGAAGGGGAAGTAAGAATGATTGGGAAATGATCACTGTCATGCAAGTCCGGGAGAACAGACCAAGTGAAGTCTAATGCGGCGGAGGAAGAGCAAACTGAGAGATCGATGCAAGAGAGAGTATGAGTCCGAGGATCAAAATGGTGTGAGTACCTGTATTTAAAACATGGAGGGGGTGGGTGGCAAGAAAAGCCTCTAACTGAATTCCACGGGAATCACAGTGAGACCCCCCCCAGAGGAAATGGTGGGCATTAAAATCACCAAGTAACAGAATCGGTGGCGGTAATGACGAAACAAGGAAGGCAAAATCCGGAATGGATAATGCCCGAGAAGGAGAGAGATATAAAGAACAGAGCGTATACCACTATGTAAGTGGATACGGGCTGCTGTGTAATGCAGCGAAGTATGAACAAATAGCTGATGGTACGGAATATCAGTGCGGAGAAGAAGGGCACTTTCATTAAAGGTCCCATCAGGAAAAGGATCTGAAGAATACAATAAATTATAGCCTGAGAATGTGAGAAATAACAGCAGAGTGTAATTTTGGTTCCTGTAAGCAAACACCAACAGGGCAAACTGGGAGAGTAACATCTGAAGCTCACCCCCGATTACCCCTGAGGCCGCGTATATTCCACTGTAAAAAGGCCATGATTGGCAATGATAAAGATACTTGAAATCCGCAGGTAAGGGTTCCTACGGACTAGAAGGGTTAGAAAAGTCCACATGCGGAGGCAGTGGAAAATGTTCAAGCAGCGAAGGAACGGTGCGCTGTGAAGAAAGGAGTTGCGCAGATGGAGCAGAGGAGAGAGAAAGAGCGAAGGTGGATCAGTGTCCATTGAATGGTTTGGTCTCTGCAATATATTCAGAGATTGCTTCAAGTGTTTCGAATTCAGAGATGTCGTATGGGAGACAATATTGGGAATGGTAGGGGGAGGATGAGTAAAGATTGGAAACTGTATTGGACTGTACCAAGGTAGGGGGGGGGCGAAAGGGTGGGAGGGAACTGGAGAAGCGTGGCAGGGGACAGAAGAGACAGGAACCTGGGAGGTGGCAGAAGAGGAAGAAACTTGGGAGGGAACAGGGGAGGAAGGTACATTACGAGGGAGGAGGGTGAACCTCCTGCATTTGTAACTGAGCCAGTGAGAGGGGAAAGAACTAGGGACAGACAGGGAGGGTAAAATGAGGATGGAAGATGGGTAGGAGGTGTTACCGGACCTTTTTTTTTTGACTTTTGAGAAGTAGAGGGACGATTGGGAAGAGGTGTCGTACGAGGTCTCGTCGATACTGAGGCTTGTAAGAGAGAACTCGAAGAAGCGAGATTAGACCGAGGCGTTGAAGTAGGGA